TTGTTTTATTTTAGGTTTCATATGTATTTGAGGTATTAAATTTTGCCATAAATATGTTGGAAACCGCTTTGAGTCCCCCCTCCCCCCCCCTTGAGAAAAGTGACATACAAGCAAAGTAAATAAATAAATAGGAGCCAACAAATATACTAGCTGCCTGCTGTCTTCTGGCCACCCTGTGTAAAGTTATATAATTACTTTTAAAAGTAATAAATATCCCTTGATCTATTTCAGCTGAAACAAACCAGTATGGAAAGCTAATTTCTAAATATGTCTTCAAGGGGTTTTTTCCATGTCAGGAGTGACTTGAGAAACTGCAAGTTACTTCTGGTGTGAGAGAATTGGCCGTCTGCATGGATGTTGCCCAGGGGACACTCAGATGTTTTGATGTTTTTACCATCCTTGTGGGAGGCTTCTTCTATGTCCCTGCATGGGCAGCTGGAGCTGACAGAGGGAGCTCATCCACACTGTCCCCAGATTCTAACCTGCGATCTGTTGGTCTTCAGTCCTGCCAGCACAAGGGTTTAACCCACTGTGCCACTGGGGACTCCGTCTTCAAGGGTGATTAGTAATGGTAGCTCTGTCACTGGTCTCTTCCTTTCTGATAGAGTCAGTAATTAAGCTAAGTAATTTTATACCCTAGATTTCATAGTGTAGCATACAGAGAAGGTAACAGCATTCGATAATCCCATATACTTTGTTATCAAGTACAGGATTCACATTTGGCCCAATTTATAATTGCAACTGTGTTCCTGATATGTTAGCGCAACAATGATAAAAACGCCAGATTTTAAGAGGTATTCTGAACACAATATGACAATTTTAAGCTCACGTGTGATCACAGAATCATGACTACAGTTCTGAAATGAAGAGTGTGCCTGCAACCCTACTGCTGCTACACGTGTTTAATTAGGATCAGGTTTTAATTTATTTTATGCTGACATTTGTTAGTTTTAAAATCATTGCCAGATTTCTCCTTTTCTCGTTTTGCCAAGTTTCCTTATATTTGTTTGAGAGTAAGCGTCATTTTATTGTGTAGAATGGTGTATTCTTAAACTAATCATTTCCTTACCTGTAAACATTCCCAAACCCTAATATTTCTATAAACAAGATCAGAGGATTCTGCATCAACTTTATCTGTGATTGAGTTGGGTTTGTTAGTTGAACATGAGGGCTGGAATTCACAATCACAGGAATGAATAGAATCATAGAATCATAAAGTTGAATGAGACCTCATGGGCCATCCAGTCCAACCCCCTGCCAAGAAGCAGGAAAATCACATTCAAAGCACTCCCAACAGATGGTCATCCAGCTTCTGTAACAGCCTCCATAGAAGGAGCCTCCACCACACTTCGGGGTAGAGAGTTCCACTGCTGAACAGCTCTCACAGTCAGAAAGAATATATAACAAGTTTGTCACAAATATGTAACTCTTAGTTAAGCATCCCTACTTATTCAATAGTGCAGGAAATTTATAGGGACCATAAAAGTCTCAAACCTTTATTTACTGGGCACCAGCTATTGTGAGTGACAGGAATATAGTGTACTATCAGTTGAGACACAACAGATTAAAGTTTTCACTTCTCCCATCAGTGAATTCAGAAATGAGGGAATTATTCTGTACATCCTGCTTCTGATTGTCACTTCAGAGACTGCTTTTGGGAGAGGATTGGAAACATCCCTTTGACTTGTCATTCGCAGCAACTGCTGCCCAGTAAATCCAGATTTGAGAGGTTAGGCCGGAATGTGTTGCTTAGCTATATAGTTAAAGCAGTGCCATAAGGAAGTAGCTGAACTAGAATAGCAGCCAGGCATTTAACATCCTAGATGTTACTAAAACCAAGTGAGCTTGGCAAAGGCGCTGTCTAGTTGATTCTAGTTTTCAAAAAATAACTTTATAAAGCTCTGATGGTGTAAAAATGCATGTCATAGTAACTGGAGCATCATAGGCACATCATAGGCACAGGGCTGCATTAAATTATTTGAAATGTTTAAATGCTGGGGATTTAAGTGCTGGGGATTGGAACTCTGAAGGACGAACGCTGAGCATGAGATTAGTTTTATTGATTGTGTTATATATTGCCTGTTTTAATTGTTATAATTGTTTTAATTGCTGTTTTATACGTATGTGTATTACTGTGCAGGCATTGAATTGTGCTGTTTGTAAGCCGCCCTAAGTCCCCCCTCGGGGGTTGAGAAGGGCGGGGTAGAAGTACCCGAAATAAATAAATAAAATAAGTGGCCACGGTAGTCCACGCTCTGGTTACATCCCGTTTAGACTACTGCAACACTCTCTACGTGGGGTTGCCCTTGAAGACGGCCCGGAAGCTTCAATTGGTCCAACGTGCGGCAGCCATGATACTAACAGGAGCGGGACGCAGGGAGCATACAACCCCCTTGTTGTACCAGCTCCACTGGCTGCCGATTTGCTACCGGGCTCAATTCAAGGTGCTGGCGTTGGCCTATAAAGCCCTAAACGGTTCCGGCCCAAGATACCTATCCGACCGCATCTCGACCTACGAGCCCACCAGGACTTTGAGATCTTCCGGGGAGGCCCTGCTCTCGATCCCGCCTGCCTCACAGGCACGGCTGGCGGGGACGAGAGATAGGGCCTTCTCGGTGGTGGCTCCTCGGCTGTGGAACACCCTTCCCGTGGACATCAGACTGGCTCCCTCCCTGATGATATTCCGCAGGAAATTAAAGACTTGGTTGTTCAAGAAGGCGTTCGAACAAGAAGTGCAATGATTGGTAATGACTATAGGAATGGAACAACGGAAAATGATACTGGATTGTGGTTTGGACGATGAGACGACGCGGAATGGCTTTTGTAGTAATGATGATGTTTTTGATGATGATGTTTTTATTGCTGGATTGTGGATCATTTTATATTGTGTCTTGAATTTTGAACCTTGTTCTTTCTATGTTGTACACCGCTGTGAGTTGCCCCCGGGCTGAGAACAGCCGTATATAAGCAAAGTAAATAAATAAATAAATAAATAAATAAATAAATAAATTTATTTCCACTGAAATATACCTGGAGTCACTTCCTAAATGTACTATAGTGTTCCCTCGCTCCTTCGTGGTTCGCTTTTCGCGGACTCGCTGTTTTGCGGGTTTTTGCCTCCCAGTTTATTAATGGTTGCCATTGCCCAGAGTGGCATTCTAATCCCACCTCCTGGCAATGATGGAGTGTGGAAGGGAAGCCAGTCAAGAGAGATTGCAAAGCAAAGCAAGGATAGCTAGCAAAAAAAAAAAAAAAGTGTGTGGTGCCTTTAAATCTCTCCTCACTTCTGCCTCACCCTCGGAACTCAATATACATATATAGTGTTCCTACTTCATGGATTTTCACTTTTTGCAAGTTGTCCTGGAATGTAACATCTGTGATAAGTGAGGGAAAACTGTGTACTGTTGATATTAACCAGGCTCTTATAATTAATGTATGGATGTGAATGCATAAAAAATCATGCCAGTCCAACAAACATTATTATCCTCACAGTCTTTTCTTTAATTTGGCATTTGCTTCATTTGTTATATATACATATTTAAAATCTGTACACATTAAGAATATAAAATAGACCATGTTTTATAAATTACACAGTTAAAAACTAAGCTTCATTTTAAGTTTTAAAAAGACAATAAAAAGCACACACACATATATACACTCAAAATCCCAACAAAATGTAGAAAAATCTGTCCATCTGTAGTCTTACAATAGTTGTGGTATAAAATAGCCTTATAGTATAAATGTACAAAATAGTATACAGTTCATTAAAAGCTGTGCAAAGACAGCAAGGTCCAGTCAAAATCAAAGAGGTGGCTCCTTTCCCCATATGTCCACACTTGCACCCTTTGCAAACCCAAAATGGCCAAAGAGCTGGGGAAAATGTAGCAATGGCTAGAGAGCACATGAAGGTTATGAAATTCATTTAAAAAGTACAGAGTTAAAGATAAGCTATAACGTACTGTTTCTCTTGTCAGTTATGAAAGAATTGGGCCCAAGGTCCAGGTGATATTGCTCGCATTTTTAAGAATATTCTTAGCAATATGTTCCTATAGATTACACTGTGAACATTACTGGTAGCATTTCAGACCTTGGTGTAGCTTATTTGTAACTAGGGAGCTTTTATGAGTGCAATAGTAGCAGCATCTCACTCTGGGAAACATAAGGTGGATCATCCAAGTGTTTAGGAGAAAATAATAATTTTACAGTTATTTAGAGATTAATCAGACTATAATTACTCTAACATTAAAGCAATGTGGTCTCAGTACAGGTAAATATCCCTTAGCTGGAATTTGGAAATTTGAAATACTCCAAGATTCAAAATTGTCTACAAGGTGTCTAAGGGCCCTTCCAAACAGCCCTATATCCCAGAACATCAAGGCAGAAAATCTCACAATATCTGTTTTGAACTGGGTTATCTGATTCCACACTGTCATATATTCCAGTTCAAAGCAGAAAATGTGGGATTGTATTCAGCTATGTGGAAGGGGCCTAAGACAGTGACACCTTGGCTTTCAGTTGAGTCAATGTACACAAACTTTGTTTCATGTTCAAAATTATTAAAATATTGTGAATATAATTACTGTCAGACTATGTGAACAAGGTGTATATGAAATGAATTTCATGTTTAGACTTGGGTCTCATCTTCAAAATATCTCCTTATAATTTTTTTGTTGTGTCAGGAGCGATTTGAGAAACTGGTGTGAGAGTATTGGCCATCTGCAAAGACGTTGCCCAGGAAACACCCCAATGTTTTGATGTTTTACCATCCTTTGTGAGGCTTCTCTCATGTCCCCACAATGCAGAGCTGGAGCTGATAGAGGGAGCTCATCTACGCTCTTCCCGGATTTGAACCTGTGACCTGTCGGTCTTCAGTCCTGCTGGCACAGGAGTTTAACCCACCGTGCCACCGGGGGCTCCTTCCTTATAAATCACATTTAAGTATTGAAAAAACAAACATAAAATAAAAAATCTGAATTACAGAACACTTCTGGTCCCAAGCATTTTGGATAAGGAATATCCAATTTGTAATAAGGGAGATTTATTACACGTTTAATCTGTTTATTCTTGTTTCATCTATAACTTCCATCTGAAAGGTGCAAGGCAAACTGACTGCTCAGCAAAAGGAGTACTATAAAGCAAGGCTTTCTAACCAGGGTAGATCTGTGGTCATCAAAATCTTGTGGTTAAAAGGATGATAGGCACATTTTCTATGCAAGGCATGTGGATATGGAAGGACACCACCTCTTCAATTAGATGTAGATCTTTGCAATGTCCCCTTTTTATAATGGCCAGGAGAAAGGTTCTCTATGAGACCGTGATCTCCTCCTCTTCCTCCTCCTCCTCTTCCTCTTCCTCTGAGTCCGAGAAGTCTGAAGGTTTGCTGGGACTGCTGGAATGGGTGGGAGAAGGGAGCATCCGGGGGTCCAGTCTGTCTCTCAAGTGTGGGAGATCTGTGGCCTGATGATAATTCAAAGAGTGCCTGGGACTGGCTGAGCAGGATAGCAATGAAGAATCTTCCTCCTCCTCCCCAGAACCTTTCTTTCCGACATCACTGAGGTCTGGGTGGGGATTGAACTTTGTGGGTAACGTTTGTTCCCGGCAGCCTCCAGATGAGAGTAGTTCTCGCTCTTTGGAATTTCTCCACTTCATCCTTCTGTTCTGAAACCAGATCTTTACCTAGAGTTTTCAAAAATACATTAAGAAGGTTGTTGAGTACCAATATTCAGAGTTGGGAAAAGTTAATTTTGGATTACAACCTACAGAACTCATCCCTGCCCCATCAGCATGGCTCCAAGTAATGCAAAATCTTATTCTACTCCTAACAAGCTTTCAAGGGTCACTACAGAATTGATTCCCAATTCCAGGATTCCCAAATATTATTGCCATTCAGGTCCCAGAATACTTAATAATAATAATAATAATAATAATAATAATAATAATAATAATAATAATAAATGAAATCCAGCATATATATCGTGTTTGCTGAGACATACTGTGTTTTTGTGTCAATAATAATAATAATAATTTTCCATGTCAGGAGTGACTTGAGAGACTGCAAGTCGCTTCTCGTGTGAGAGAATTGGCCATCTGCAAGGTTGCCTAGGGGACATTGCCCAGGAAAGAATAATAACAATAACAATAATACTTTATATATTCTACACTATCTCTCTGAAGGGACTCTGGGTGGATTCCAGTCACAAAAAAAGGCAAATATTCAATGCCTGAACATAACAACTAATAGAAACATAAGAGAAAACAATACTTTTCAAGTTATTTAGAGCTGAATCAGACTATGATCATCATTGTTCATGATGGCTGCAGCTTCTGGGAATTTTAGCCACATTGGTAGATTTGCAGGTTGGGAACCGTTAGCCTAGTGCATATAATTTTATATGTTTGGGATTCAACTGCTGATGGCTTTATATCTTTGTTTTGTTTTCTCAGTTAAAACTCAGTTATGCTTTTGAGTGAGAAGGAAAACTTTTAAAAACTTTTAAACAGGATTTCTCTTGAGATGACATATTCGACCAAAATACTCTACAGTTCCAATTGAAAGAAAGTTAGTCATGCATATTTCTGATTAAAATCAAAACACAATAAAAGAGCTGATTGCTACACTGAGCAGCTCCTAGATGGTAGGATTAAAAGTTGTGACCACACAGATCAAAGCAATGTGGCCTCAACTGTAAGTAGCTGTCCTTGGACAGGCTTTGTAGTTCCAGTCTAAAAGTGGCCTCTTTTACCCATATTCAAATTTGCTCCTAAAAAGGAGGCGGTGGTGCATGCATTGTGTTCTTGTGTGAGAGATTGAAAATCCATCTGCTAATTCCAGTTACAGAAATTCTACTGAATGAATTGCTGAATGGTAGCTGGGTTGTGAGTCTGGACCCAAGAAGGGCTCCTCTAATATTAATCCTGAAGATATTTTGGAAGGGTAGCCCCTCTTCTTGTCTTCACTGGAAATGCAAGTGCAAATTGGGAGGGGCCAGCTGTGGCTGAAAAGCTAGAATTTGGAAGGTAAGGGTACCTTTGCCCAGCATTGCCATGTTTTACTCTAGCTTTTCATGTTTTAGGATCTCTTCAGGATTAAAGTTACAGGAGTCTCGTTCCATATCCAACTTGGCAATCCTAAATGGTAATCAGGTTAATGTTTATAAACCCAATTATTTCAATCCTGAATCCTACTGTTAGCTTGAACTTGAGTAAATCTATTCTATCAATGAGATTTACCTACATGGATAGGAGCCCCTGGTGGTGCAGTGGGTTAAACCCCTGTGCAGGGAGGACTGAAGACCGACAGGTCTCAGGTTCGAATCCGGAGAGAGGCAGATGAGCTCCCTCTATCGGCTCCAGCTCCTCATGCGGGGACATGAGAGAAGCCTCCCACAAGAATGATAAAAAACATCAAATCATCTGGGCGTCCCCTGGGCAACGTCCTTGCAGACGGCCAATTCTCTCACACCAGAAGTGATTTGCAGTTTCTCAAGTCGCTCCTGACACAATAAAAAAAAACCTACATGGATCATAGTATTCAAGCCTAATCTAAATTGGGCCTAGCGATCAAATTTTGGCTCCAATGTGCAAGACAATACTTCCATGCCACAACCTAAATCAGGGCCTCGGTACAGATTCCAGTGTTTCTAATGGCTTCTGCAGTTGCCAGGGCTGTTATCTGAACTAGTGTTATCTGAACTAGTGTAGATACTTCCCAAGCAACAACCATCAAGCTTTCACCAGATAGCAACATTTTGAGGGTTTGCAATGGAGCAACAAAAGCTCTGTAGGAATGCTCTGAGCATCTACAAGAACAATGCTCTACAAAAACAGTTGCTATGACATGTCCCTTAATCCCTTGCAATAAAGGTATCAATTTCAGCCTCAAAACAAAGAGACCCTCTTAATAAATGCCTGTAGGATTTAGCAGTGTTCACCGAATGTGGCTAGAATGGAGCACAACACTTCAATCCTGAGCACAAACATTACATCCTGAAAGAATTCCCTTGGAAGTAAGATTTGGTTAAGTCCAATGTGATTTATACAAGACTGAAAGGGCTGAAGATAACTTTTGAAAAACTTGGAAACATATTCCACTAAAATAAATGGAGCTATTGTTCTAAATAGTGCAAGAATTTGGATGCCAGTTGCATTGACCATTGCAGAAGGAACTACATTGCCTTAAATCTTAGTATTCTGACTTAACTGGGTTGTGGTTAAGGCTGTAAATTAGGAATGCCTCCTTTGCCCAAACAGTCCATCTCACAAACAGTCTTTGTTGCATTTAGGAAGTCAAGGTTAACTACCCATTTGTTCTCTCATTCCATCTCTAATTCCCTATGCTTGGCCCAAAGAGTGATTGGTTACCTGGGAGTCTTTTAGGCCCAGCTTGGCGGCCAATTTCTTTCTGTCTGGCTTGCTGATATATTTCTGCTTCTGAAACATTTTCTCCAGAGCCTTGCGCTGAACATCTGAGAAAACGGCCCTGCGGAGCATGCCCCTGCGTGGCTTCCCTCGAGCAGCCAGAGGCCAAGAGAAAGTGCCAGGGATAGGCACCACAGAGGAGGCTGTGTGAGAGAAAAAAGAATAGGCACATTAGACTGAATCAGCCAAAAACAGGAGAGAAAGAGAAAAGCAGAGCACTGGAGACAAGAACTGTTCTCTTCTAGAAGACTGAGGCCTAAATCTTACTGTTAGTCTCAAATCTCTACAGTAGACATACTGAATCACTATAATTTAATCAGTGTCAACTCACAATGCCACCCTTGATTCAGTGGGTCCACTCTAATAGGGATTACCAATACGATTCAGAGCGATTTGATTCATTCCTTTTGAGGCTGATGGCAAATCTCCCTTTGATTTGTTTGCCTGATTTGCTGTCTTCAGCTCTCAATCTCTTTTTCTCTTTTCCTTTCTCTCATCTTTTCCTTTCTCTACTATTACTGGAACCTATATAAACTCTGAATTCCATGAAAAGAAGTTTATGCTTAACTTAACCATTTTTTTAAAAAAAAATGGTAACCAGATTATGTGCATTGAGGGAATTTAACTATAGCTGGCTGGTTTTGTCACCAGGTTCAGAGATGCAGAGCTTGAAAAAAAAGCCAGGAAAATAGGGTTCTTTTAAAAGAAAGGTCTCTCTTTTACAAGTATTTAATTTTTCAGAATGCTGCTTTTTTCATGCCAGGGACTTTATTATATGCTAGATTATACAAAAAGGACTTTTTTCTGTCTGGAAGGGGGGGAAAGGCTTTTAAAGATACAGGTTTGAATCAATCAGTATTCATCTTTTTTATATGAATCTTTCTTTCCCTCTCCTCGTCTTCCTTACAAAACTTGCAGAATTCCCTCTGAAGACATGAAAAGTAACAGCTAATTAGCACATTGACTGGTTCCCAATGGGACTGGAATGATAAAAAGGGCAGAGTTTCCCCTTTAAGCGGAAAGAAAAACTCCCAAAGAGAAACAGAGATTCTAATGAAGCGTGAATGGTAATTGTGTAGTAATGAACTAACAGAAAAAGACTGAGGACAAGCAGCTAAAGCCATATATTATTGGGACAAAGAGATTTACACTTTCAAACTAAACACAACTGCATGCCAAGCTCCTTGGGGAGAATACTGATGACACAGCCTTCTCTTTCCCCAAATCATTTTCATTAAATGGACATGAAAAGCTATCTATAAGGCTCAAGTTGTTTTTGTTGCTCCATTCAAATGCAGGAGAAAGGAAGCAAATTCCATTATCAGGAGAATGAATGGAGGGGCTCTTGGCTTTTGGGAGAAAATATATGAACAGCTTCTTGGTGGAATGATATTTTTGAAAAGTTGTTTCGCACGAAATCATAACTTCTCCTGACATTAACATTAAGAGATGACATTAATTTGATGAGCCCTTCCTGACTAGTTCTTGGAGATATAGTTTCTTCTAGCAGTTTTAAGATTCATTGAACATCAATGAGGGATTACAACAAAGAACTGTGGAGGGGAGGAAAGCTATCTTATAACTAACTCAGGCTCTGTTGTTTGCATACCATTGACAAAGCTGCACATGCACACTGGTTTTGTACTCTTAGTTCAAAAAACAATGACAAATATAAGCTTAGTAACAAGCAATATCTATTTTATTTGCCTTTTTTCTTTAGGAAAGCTGGAGGGAGGGTTAAATGGTTGTTTATTATAAGACCTAAAGGGGCTTTTAAGACAACTTTGAGGCAACTTTGGACATAATTTCTAGCATAAACTTTTGCTAGCTCAATTCACATCATCTGATGCAAGATGAACCTTAGAAATGCACCTGGATTTTTCAAAAGTACATTAAAAAAACAATTAGCATGTCTATTTCTTTGAATGCCAGTACACTAAAAACACTTATTGTACTCATCATCTACAACTGTGTACCTTCAGTGGTTCTCAAACTGTGTGTTCCCATGGGGTGTTGGCCTACAACTCCCAGAAATCCCATCCAGTTTACCAGCTGTTAGGATTTGTGTGAGTTGAAGCCCAAAACATCTGGGGACCCACAGGTTGAGAACCAACTACTGGTAGCTGAAAGAACTTTACAGCATAGCCATTCCTAGATGTCAGGTATTACATATTACTTCTTAGTCAGAGAATCCACAGATTTGATGAAGTCTATCCAGGTGCATCTTTGAAGCCCATCTTACATAGGATGAACTAAGTCCACGAAAGCTTTCATACTTTTAATGCTTCAACAAGGTCACCACATTGTTGGAACACAATGTACTGGCACAGAAGAACAGTTGGCAGTTGAGCTGGCAGAATATGAATGTATAAAGGTGGATACTCCAAGTCTGCACTGACACAGCCCACCATCCACCCACTGGCTTCTAAGTCCTTTCTGATAGAGTACAGTTGTCCTTCTATATTAGTATTTTTCAGTTAGTTGTTTGAATATATTCTCTCTAGGAATCTCTAGGTCATGGGTCCTCAAACTTTTTAAACAGAGGGCCAGGTCACAGTCACTCAAACTGTTGGAGGGCCAGATTATAATTTGAAAAAAATGAATTAATGCATATGCACACTTCACATATCTTATTTCTGGTGCAAAACCACTTAAAAACAATACAATAATTAAAATGAAGAACAATTTTAGCAAATACAAACTTATTAGTATTTCAATGGGAAGTGTGAGCCTTCTTTTGGCTGATGAGATAGGATTGTCCTTGTCGTTGTCGTTGTTGTTGTTGTTGTTGTTGTTGTTGTGTGCTTTCAAGTCATTTCAGACTTAGGTTGACCCTGAGCGAGGGCCGGGTAAATGGAGGGCCGCATCTGGCCCCCGGCCTTAGTTTGAGGACCCCTGCTCTAGGTCCTCCAGTGTTGCACTATGGTCAACTTCCTGTTGAACAGTTTGAGCAGGCATTCCCAGCTGTTTGGGCCCCAAACTTCCAGAATCCCTGATCAGTTAACAAGCTGGCTATGGGATCTGAGGGTGCCTGACCTAGAAGGTGCCTGACAGGCCCGTAGCCAGGATTTTGTTTCCGGGGGGGGGGGGGGAATTTTTTTTCAGGGGGGGTTTCTGGGGGGGCTGAGTTTCGGGGGGGGGGGCTGGGCTGAGTCTGAAAGAGGGTCTAGCCTAGCAAACCTTTTGTATCATTACCCCAATACCCCCATGCATATGGGATATATTGAGTATGGTGATCAGATTATGATATGAATAAACATAACAGTTTAAATAATGCACCAGTAAGGCCTTTTCGCGAACCACCATGAGAATTTCGGGGGGGGGGGGGGCTGAAGCCCCTCCCCCCCCCCCCCCCCGCTACATGCCTGGTGATCTAGAGGTTGTTGAGGTCTCTAGACAGAGCACCTCTCAGGTCCTTCAATGCAATTCTATGTTCAGCTTCCAATAAAAGTTGACCCTAGAGTTCTAATGGAAGACCATAGACAATCCTAAAGAGTGTATTGAAAACAGCTATTGAAACAGTGTATTGAAACAGTGTATTGAAACAGCTATTTCGTGATTCGTGTTTTTTTCCCGTTTCACAGGGGGGTCTGTGCCCCTGCTCACAGCGAAAGCGGAGGACTGGCTACCATCCCTTGGGGAAAGGGAAAGGTTTTCGGAGGGCAGGGCAGCGGGGCCGGGCTCCGGCCACACGGGAGCCGCCAGACAAGGCAGCGCCGCATGGGGTCTTGTGCAAATGCGGGCAGAGCGAATGACCCTTCATGGGAAATTAGCCCGTGGCTGGTAAGTGTCTGTCAGCGGCGGAGGAAGAGGCCAGAGGGAGGGAGGAGGGAGCTGGCCAGATTGGTCATGGTGCTGAAACATTGGCCGCCGCCCAGGAGGAAAGAGGAGGAAGGGGAGGGCAGCGAGGAGGAAAAGAAGAAGGAAAAGGAAAGGGAGGAGGAGGAGGAAGAAGGAAAGAAAAAATAGTAAGAAGAGGAGGAGGAGGAAAAGGAGGAGGAGAAATGGAGGCGGAAGAAGAAGAGAGAAGTAAGAGAAAGGAGAAGAAGAAGGAAAGAAAAAGACGAGGAAGAAGAGGAGGAGGAGAAAAGCGGGCTGAAGAAGAAGAGAGACGTAAGAGAAAGGCGAGGAAGAAGGAAAGAGGAGGAGAAGAAAAAAAGACGAGGAAGAAGAGGAGGAGGAGGAGAAAAGGAGGAGGAAGAAGAGCAAGAGGAAGAAGGAAAGAAAAGAGGAGGAAGAGGAGAAAAAGAGAGGAGAAGGAAGAGAAAGAAGAGGAAAGAGGGAAGAAGAGGAAGAGGAGGGGAGAAGGAAGAAAAAACAAGGAAGAAGAAGAGAATGAGAAGAAAAGGAGGCAGAAGAAGAAGAGAGAAGGAAGAGAAAGCCGAGGAAGAAATAACGAAGATGAGGAAGAAGGAAAGAAAAAGAGAAGGAGGGGAAGCGAAAAGAAGGAGGAAGATGAGCAAGAGAAGGAAAAAGAAGAGGATGAGAAAGAAGAAGAGAGGAGAAGAAAGTGAAAGGAGAGGGAAAAGGAAAGAGGAGGAGGAAGAAGATGGAATGAAAAAGAGGAGGGGGGAGGAAGAGGAAGTGACCAGCAGCATATCTCCCTTTGGGACCAGGACATTCGCAGCCAATGTGTCCCTCTGGGGATCCCAGGGTGCCATTGGAGGTCGGTGCCGAGGTGGAGGCAAAGGGCCAGCCGCAGCCCTTGTGCTAAATCGGCCATTAAATTGGCGCGACTGATTCTTGGGTGTCGCTCTTGGTGCCTCCCTCCCTCCCTCCCTCCCTCGTCACCTCCGATCCCCTCCATTCCACTTTCACGATTTCAAGGGCAAAGGGGAGGGGGCTTCAGGAAGAAAAAGGGCTGCCCCTCCCCAATCCTTGGGGGCCTCTCTCTCTCTCTCACACACACACCAGGGTTTTCTTTGCAATCTTTGTTCAGAAGGGGCTTTGCCGGCGCCTCCCCCTGAGGCGAAGAGAGTGAGACTGGGATAAGGTTCCCCAGGAAGTAATGGAGTTTGACACCTCCGTAACCGCCACGGCTTAATGTGGTGGAACCACGGGAGTTGTAGTTTTACAAGGTCTTCGGCCTTTCCTACCTGCGTCCTGGTTCTACACCAAACCACAACTCCCAGAATTCCTTGAATTCCCAATGGCATTGAGCCATGGCCATTTAAATGGTATCAAACTGTATACACAGTGTCGAGGAGAGGCAACTCCAGTGAGTTTCCACGGCGGAGCGGGGATTTGAGCCCTGGTGCCCACAGTTGGACCTACCTGGGAAATAAGACGACCGGATGAAAGGTTGAAAGGAGCCTTCGAAGTAAGGGAAGGAGAAGGCCTTCGGGGGGATGCTCTGGATCAGCGCGTGGGAGGAGTCTGGAAGAGAGAGAGAGAGAGGGAGGGAGGGAGGGAGGGAGGGAGAGAGAGAAAGAGAGAGAAGCGCGTTAGAAAGGGGTTTCTCCCCCGCGACCGCGCCAACTCCTCAGGAAGGTCTTTGGCACGAAGCAGGAACTCCTCTTCACATTCCACTCGCACCCATTCCAATTCCGGGGTTTGTAGTTTAGTGAGGCTGTTAAAGGCTCCTCCCTAAATTACAAATCCCAGAATTCTGCAGGAGGAAGAACCGGATTTTAAGTGGATTTTTCTCTAATATGATGAAGCAACAGATCCAGCCCTGCCCGCATCAAGTCCAACCGTTGGATCTTTCCCTGCTTCCCTGGAGGTACACCGCTTGGACCAAGAGTAACGCCCAGGAAAGTTACTTTTGCGACCAATCCCCTCTGCCTCCCCACAAACAAGAGGTGGAGGAAACCCATTCATACTCCAAAATTAAAGTGCTACATTACAGATCCCAGAACTCCATAGAGCTTTGACATGAAAGAGCCAAAGGAGCCCCCGGTGGCGCAGTTGGTTAAACCCCTGTGCTGGCAGGACTGAAGACCGACAGGTCAGGGGGAGGGCGGATGAGCTGCTCTATCAGCTCCAGCTTCTCATGCGGGGATATGAGAGAAGCCTCCCTCAAGGATGGTAAAAACATCAAAACATCCGGGCGTCCCCTGGGCAACGTCTTTGCAGACGGCCAACTCTCTCACACCAGAAGCGACATGCAGTTTCTCAAGTCACTCCTGACACCAGCAAAAAAAGTGGGGCTGCTGTGAGTTTCCAGGCAGTATGGCCATGTTCCAGAAGCATTCTCTCCTGACGTTTCGCCCAAATCTATGACATAGGTTGGGAGATCTGTTGGAAACTGGGAAAATGTGGAATGTCCAGGGTGGGAGTAAGAACTCTTGAGGCAGGTGTGAGTGTTGCAATTGACCGCCTTAATTAGCATGTAATAGCCTTTCATCTATTCCACAGATAGGTGGACCTCCCAACCTTTGAGGATACCCGACATAAATGTGAGTGAAACGTCAGGAGAGAATGCTTCCGGAACACGTATTGTTGAAGTCTTTCATGGCCGGAATCACTGAGCTGTTGTAGGTTTTTTCAGGCTGTATGGCTGTGTTCTAGAAGCATTCTCTTCTGACGTTTCGCCTGCATCTATGCCAGGCATCCTCAGAGGTTGTGAGGTCTGGAACATGGCCATACAGCCCGGAAAACTCACAGCAAGCCAGTGATTTTGGTCAGGAAAGCCTTCCACAACACAGTGTAGATCAGGCCTGGGCAAACTTCGGCCCTGCAGGTGTTTTGGAGTTCAACTCCCAGGCTGTTAGGAATGATGGGAGTGGAAGTCCAAAGTACCTGGAGGGAGGGCCCAAGTGTGCCCTGCCCGCCCGTGCGTGGTGCCGCACTGCCGCTCTTTCTTACCTGTCCGGGGCGTGGAGGCGAGGATGGCGTTGACCCCGAACTTCAGGAAAGTGGCCTCGGGGCCGGGCGAGGAGGAGCCGGGCCTTCTGCCGGAGTGGGAAGAGCCCACGTCGGAGGAGGAAGAAGAGGAAGTGGGCGAGGAAGAGGAGGGGGAGGAAGAGGAGGTTGCCGTGGGGTCGGTCCTGGAGAGCCCCGAAAGAGGAGGAGGAGGGGGAGAAGGGATGCTGGGCGGCGGCTGAGCGCTGCTTCGGGGCAGGAAAGGCGAGGGAGACGGCCTGCTGCTGCTGCTGATCCGGATCAGGTCTTCCACCAAGAAGCTGGTGTGGCTGGGGAATGTGGGCAAAGTGAGGGCGGGGGTGGGCCGGAGCAGGCTGGGGTACACCGCCGGAGGGGCGATCAGGCTGGGGAACATCATGGCATCGGAGGGGTTAAGGAAGGGACAGAGGGAGAGGGAGAGAGAGAGAGAGAGAGAGAGAGAGAAGGAAGGGGGCCAAAGAGAGAGGGAAAGGGAGAGAGAAGGTGGCCAAGTGGAAGGAGGAGAAGGAAAGGGGAGAGAAAACCCACCTTCCCAATGGTCTAAGCTTGGGTTGGACTTCCTCCTCCCAATATAAACAAACCCACTCTCGGGATAGGATAGGATCGCCTCCTTTGCCCTTCCTTTCCTAGATAAGCCTTGAAAGAGAGAAGGAAGGAGGCCAACGAGAGAGGGAAAGGGAGAGAGAAGGGGGCCAAGTGGAAGAAGAGGAGGAAAAAGGCAAAGAAAGCCCACCTTCCTGAAGGTCTAAGTTTGGGCTGGACTTCCTCCTTCCAATATAAACAAACCCACTCTCGGGATAGGATGGGATCGCCTCCCTTGCCCTTCCTTTCCGAGAAAGCTTTGAAAAAGAGAGAGAAAGAGAGAGAGAGACACAGAGTCCGAGCGTCCTTTCAGGCCGGGCTCCGTGCGCAATGGGTCTTATAGTCCTCCTCGCCCGCCGGGGCGCTTTCCCCAGTGACAACGCCAACAATGGGGGTCCCCCGGCTCGGGGGTCAGCCCTCGGGAGCTCGGGGCGCCCTCATTGGTCCGGGGGCGCCGCCGCGAGCTGTGATTGGAGGAAAGAGCGCCCCGCGAGTCGCGGCCAGAAGCAGAGCGCCGCCCCTCCCAACGCGAAAAGGGGGGGGAGGGTGTCTAGTATTTTGCACGTTGGTTGCCTTCAAGGGGGGCTCACACACCCCACACACACTCCCGGCCTCATTAAAGGCCCATTTGATTCGATTTTGAAAGGGATCCCCACTGGCATCGCGCCTCCCCGAAAGCGAAAAGTCCGTAGTCAATTTCTTTCTTTCTTCTTTTTCTTTTTCATTGGCTTTCTCTCGCTCTTTCCTTCACCGTCCCCGCTGTTTGGGAGGAAATGAATCAATAAATATTCATCTATGAATGAACTGATCCCGGAGCTTGTGGGAGGCTGGCAAATACAAATGAAGGAAGGGGGACAGACGACAAAAAAGTTTGGAGAGGGTCTATCCCAGTCATGGGCAAAGTTGGGCCTTCCCTCCGGGTGTTTTGGACTTCAACTTCCACCATTTCTAACAGCCTCGGGCCCTTTCCTTTTCCTCCTCAGCCGCTGGGGAAACAGACCTCCTTTTCTCCGCTAATGTGATCTAAATAGCAGATGCATCGCCTCTTTCTGGCCCAGGCCAAGGCCAGTGCAATAAAAATACGTTGAAAAGGAAGTTAAGCGGCTGAGGGGGGAAAGGAAGGGGTCTGGGGCTGTTAGGAATGGTGGGAGTTGAAGTCCAAAACACCTGGAGGGCCAAAGTTTGCCCAGACCTGTTCTACATCTTTGAGTCATGGCAGTTAAAGTAGGATGAAATGGCAGGAATTCTACAGTGTTCGCTACATCCCTATTGGTTTCCATTTTTCAGGACTCCATCAAGTCAAAGGCAACCAACTGCACTTCACGTGGGTCGTCCAGATTCTACTTTGTGGGGCGACAGAAGGGAGGCCACGGAGCCCAGGGCGCCTGGTTGGGAAATCTGGGCTCAAAAATGACCCTCACTTGGGGTGATTCCACCAGAAATATAGCAGAGTACCAGATGTAAACTTCATAATCAGCAGAAACTTATGTGTGACGAGCTGGGATAAGCTTCTATTACCTGGGAAGGAATCTCACTGGGGCATTGCAGCACACCCAAATACCTGGGAGTTCCCCTAAACATTGTGTTCCGACTTACAAGAAGCACTGCTTGAATATCAAGCAAAAATGGATGCTAGAAACAATATGACAACCAGGAGATCACAACCAGATACAGTGAAGACATCTGCGTTAAAACAGTGGATGTGGCTCTTAATGAGACATGCGTATTATCACAGGATGTCTACCCTCTACACCACTGGAGAAATTACACTGTTTAGCCTGTATTGCACCACCTGACATCCACGGGGGAAGTAGCAGCCAATAATGAAAGGACCAAAGCAGTGACATCTTTGGCCCTTCTTATGTTCGGATATCAGCCAGCATTCTAATGCCTTAAATCAAGAAACAGTTTTCTAAGATCTAAGGAGACTTGCAGGAACACTTCAGCAAGTGAGAGTCCAAACATGGCAGGTTTAAATCCAGAACCTTAAGCCATGGCGGATACCAAATGAGATATTCTCTCCTGGGCACACAGAAGACTAGGCGACTTGGAAGGAGCAGAATAGACTGCGCTTTGGCATCACGAGATGCAGAGCCAACCTTAAGAAATGGGGCCACAAAGTGGAGTCCACCACATGTGAGTGTGGAGGTGAGCAAACCACAGACCACCTATTACAATACAGTCTTAGTCCTGCCACATGCACAATGGAGGGCCTTCTTACACACAACACCAGAGGCACTCCAAGTGACCAGCTTCTGGCCACAGGACATTTAGTATAATGCCAAGTTTTTTAAACTTTGTGTTTTTTAAATGCATTACCATCTTGGTTTCCTTCTGATAAGATAAATAAAATAGCTTCTATTCCTTAGGATGGCACAGGATTGCAGTCAGAACTTTAGGTTCAAAAATATTTGAAGAAGTAAAAGAAATACATTCTTGACAGAAAAGGTCTTGGCACTAACTAGCTTACTAAATCTCATCTTCTAATGAGGGAAAAGGGTAAAAAGTCCATGCAGTTACATTTTGCCTAGAAAGAGGCAAAAATGTGCATCCTCATAGGTAGAGAGGCAACCCAGGGCAATAGAAGTTAAAGTGAAAGTTCCCTCACGGAATTCCATTCCTGTATCATCAAAGGGAGGTGTAGGGGAATCAGAGCTGTTAGACTCAAAAATGACCCTCACTTGGGGTGATTCCACCATAAATATAGCAGAGTACCAGAAGTACACTTCATAAGCAGCAGAAACTTATGGTGAAGCTGGAATAAGCTTCTATTCCTTAGGATGGCAGAGTCAGAATTTTAGGTTCAAAAATATTTATCGAAGTAAAAGAAATACATTCTAGATAGAAAAGGTCTTGGAGATAACTAGCTTACAAAATATCAGGTAAAAGGAGAGTCAAACTATCCATGCAGCTACATTTTGCCTAGAGAGAAAGGCAAAATGCGTATTCACTGGAAGGAAGTAAAAGACTGAAAGGACAATGGAGGATGGCCTCCTTATTGCCAAGCCCAGGGCAATAAAAATGCCTTGAAAAGGAAGTTACCTCACAGAGATTCCATTGCTACATCTTCAAAGGGGAATGAAATAGTAGCAAGGAGGAAGAGTAAAAACAAAGCCTTTTCTGGGAAAAAAAGCATGCATAGGAATACGGTGGGAGGAATCTGTCGCTCTAATCTTATCTCCAGTCCAGCTACTCATTGAGGACTGGAGACTTGATGACACAAGAGACTTGTGAAGTACAGGGATGAAACAACCCAACAGGACAGAGGAAACGGTGGCTAGAGGGAGAAGGGGAGACAAAGCCCTTTAGGGAAACATGCATGGGAAAGTGGGGAAAGGAGTCCCTCAGTTTTGCTCTGTCTCCAGCTACCCATTGAGGTCTTGAGACTTGGTGGCACAAGAGACTTGTGCAGTCCCGGAATGAAACAACCCAACAGGAGGAAGGAGACAGTGGGTAACAGGAGGAGGGGAGATAAAGCCCTTTTGGGAGACATGCATGGGAAAGTGGGGAAAGGAGCCCTCCGTTTTGCTCTGTCTCTAGCCTAGCTACTCATTGAGGACGGGAAACTTGCTGTCACAAGACACTTGTGCAATCCAGGGATGAAACAACCCAACAGGACGGAGTGGCTAGTGGGAGAAGGAGAGACAAAGCCCTTAGGGAAACATGCATGGGAAAGTGGGGAAAGGAGCTCCTGAGCTTTGCTCTGTCTCTAGTCTAGCTACTCATCGAGGACTGGAAACTTGATGACACAAGAGACGTGTGCCAGGCATGTAGCCAGGGGGAGGGGAGCTTGAGGGGCTTCACCCCCCCCCCCCCGAAATTCTCATGGTGGTTCGCGAAAAGGCCTTACTGGTGCATTATTTAAACTGTTATGTTTATTCATATCATGATCTGATCACCATACTCAATATATCCCATATGCATGGGGTTATTGGGGTAATGATACAAAAGGTTTGCTAGGGTAGACCCTCTTTCACTCAGACTCAGCCCCCCGAACCAAACCCCCCCCCCCCGAAACCCCCCTGAAAAAAATTCAGCCCCCCCCCCCCCCGAAACGAAATCCTGGCTACGTGTGCTATCTAGGGATGAAACCCAACACGCCTCGAGGCCGGTCCACTCGTGCCTGTGAGTCTCTCTTTCTCTCCCTTTCAAGAGCAACCCCATAGCCTTTCCACTCTGGGCTTAGAAGGGCTTTTGCTCAGACCTGCGGCCACCAACCACCAACCAACCAACCAACCCACCCTCTCTCTGCTGCTCTTCCCCAGACTTTAAAAGCCCCAAACCCAGGGCCACAAGGCGCCTCCCTCCCTTCTAAACCAAAAGTGATCCTTTTGCATTGAGGCAAAACGGAGGAGGGGTCGAAAAGCAGAAGACGGCTGGTTAAAAACCGCGGAGGAGGTTTTTTGGAGGTTTTTTCAAAACATAAACAAAACCCTCTCTGTGGCGAATACCGAACAGATGTGTTAAAATCGCCGTATGTTTTCCCGGAGCCCCCTATTCAGGGACGGGGCGCTGAACCTTTCTGCCACCAGAAGCGTGCAGGCCCAGCCCGGCCGCCCTGATCCTATTAAGCATGAACTGACTGTCACCTTCAGCTGTTTCAACCTCCCCCTCCTTTCTTCCTTGTTCTTTCTTTCTTCCCTTTCTTCAACGTGGAAACACAAAGCTTATTCCCTTTTCTTTCTCCCCCCCCCCCCCCCACACCTTATTAACCAGCTTTCTTTCTTTCTGTCGAGGGTGTTTTTCGGGGGACGGGTGCGGAAGGCGCTGGCTTGCGTGTCTGTGGGCGCCCATGATCTCCGTGTCGATGCTTTAACCATTGAGAGCACAGCTTCGGGGGGCGGGG